ATCAAGTTTTTCCCCCCAACGAGTCGAACAGGTGGACAAATGAATACTTGAATATATATATATATATACAATCCATAAATCTATTAAAGACTGAGGGAAAAGATAGATACAAAGAGATGGCTAATAAATCGACGACAATTCCGATAAAACTAGCTGTAAACTGTGCTCGTCTCGAGTCCATTAGAAAGATAACGCAATCGTATCGTGTTTCCCCCTCCTTGCAATGTTCCACGAGATCTATCGTGGATCGCGTACGAACATGGATGGATCGATCCATCACTGTGAACGCCAGTTGATTCGACGATTCGACGTACATTCGTCTCCTCGCGCTCGAAAAGAACGATCCGCTCGATTTGTTGCGTTTTTGTGGACGGAGGCGAGAGAGAAATCATGAAAGAAACGAAGAAGAAGTAAGTAAGAATTACGATGAAGGGAAATGTGACGAGTTAATTTCTGATGAGATTTGGCGATTAGAATACGAAAAGAAGCCGTTTAGATATTTAAATGTAATTTTGAAAAGAAGAACAGAACTTAGAAGTTTGAAGATTTGAATTCTGTTAAAAATAATAAATTTAGGAAATTTTAAGGATTATTATACAGTCTTGGTAATATATTGGATTGTAAAACAGAAAATGTTTTGTAAAAAAAAAAAAAAATTGAAGATATAAATCTCTGATTCGTTCTACAATTCTACAATTAGAAGAGTAGTAGAGAAAGTATAAATTATCGATCGTCAAGTAGATCTGGAACACCAAACACAGACATACTCGATATTACGAATTTCTGAATCGCTCTGACTCACTCATCCTAATTAGATAAGTAGAAAAGAAACTAATACAAAACCGTCTTTATTCGCGCTAATTAATTCTTCTCTCGTTAGTCTGTGCTCTTTATGGTACTCTTTGAAAGATCTCCTTTCTACGATGTTCTATTAAACAGATGTAGCAAAAGCAAACTTAAAATCTTTCGCAATACGATAAACCACAAACAGAAAGCATATTCATTATATTTTTCTCTTAGAATTCAAAAGAGACAATACAATTTTTTAGTTACAATTTCAAATAAAATAAAACAAAAACTTTTTCCTTCGATCTTTCTTCACTTATATCCATCCTAAAGCATCTTAGATCAAGAAAGAAAAAAAAAGGAATACATTTCACAATATTCCCTTTAATTTAATAAAAATTAATTTATACAGCCGAATTTTCAAATATATATATATATATATATCAAATTCCTTCCTTAACCTTTCTCCTTCGATCCCTTTAATGCCTTTAAGAAAAAAAAGAAAAGAAAAACAATTCCTCTCCTCTCCCTTCCCACCATCAAACCCAATCATCTCCCCGTTGAAAAAAAAAAAAATCGCTCAACATCGACTCGCTTCCACGAACGATCTCCTCTTTGACGAAGATGGCATCATCATCGCGGAATCGGATTGCTGACACCGGTTTAACGCGTCCCTTCGATCGAGGATCCGAAGCGAACGATCGAGAGGCGGCAAAAAAAGCCGTGGACAAAAACGTGGCGCGGATCGTGCCCAACGATTTCGAATGTTACTCGAAATGGCGAAGTAACAACCCCCTTTCCCCTCCTCCCCACCTGTCCACCACGACTCGTGGTGGCACGTATACACGAGAGCGTCACTTTGTCCCTGACGAAGTTAGCGTTTACGTATGCGAGCAGCATCGTCCGTTCGGTGGGTTTGGAAGTGCCCCGGGCATTCTGGAACGATGTTGTCGGCCGTGGCCGTTTCAGCCCGGGGCGGCTCGAATACGACAGACACCGAGAGGCTTGCCTCCCTTTATATCGGCCCTCGCCAACTGCCCCATTATTCTCGATGGCCGATGGCCAATCGTATCGGCCGAGTACCAACTCTAACTTTACGAGGTATACCCCGACGAAGGTGGCCGGCCCTTCGCTTGGAAAAGCTCCAGCTGCGGATTCGGCGAGCCAGCCTCGCCTCACGAGAATCCACCACCTATTCGAAATCCCCTCCTCCCCCTCTCGCCGATTATATTTGTCTTTTATCCTTTGTCTCATGTATGATTTTTCGACCGTACCTTGTCCGGACGTCTGGAAGAGAATTCGATTCGAGGGGAACAAGTTTGAAGAGATTGGAAATTGTTCTCAGAATGGATCTATCTATTAGTTTGGTTCTGGAAAATTTTCAGAGAAGCGGAAAGAGAAATTTTGGGAGAAATTAAATTAAAGAAGAATTTGTACAAGTTGAATTATCATTGTCGTTAAGTATTTACGGCCACGAATTGTTTTCTGAACGAAAACTGAATCAAAAAAAAAAAAAAAAATAAAGGATTAATAACAAAATACCAATACCAGATTGTGCATATTTATACATGGGTATGCGCAAAAATGATTCGAATTTTTGATCGATCGATCAGTATGTAAACAGTGGTGGTGAAGAAGAAGAAGAAGAAGAAGAAAATACATTAGCCCTATACAGACAGTTTTTATACAACAAGAAGAGTAAGAAAAAAAAAAAAAGTAGTAATTCGATCGAAGATTACCCCCTTCCGGGATAAGATACAGTGGCCCGTAGGGTGCTCGATCCTGTTTTCGTATATAAATCTTTCGGACAACTCACTTCCCCGCACCAGTAATTTCAATCGTGAAATCATCGATTCCTTTTATTCGCGCCGATATCACTCCGAAACGCGACAATATCGCCTGCTCGCCGGTAATGACGCACGTCCAATGCTTCTTGAGGATAATTTATAGCGGCGCGCAATTACCGTCGTCCCCCTCCCTCCCCTCCTTTGGCCGACTTAAAAAAGGTAAATGAACGGGTGAGCACGACCAGGAGGAGGGAGAGAAGGGGAAGAGGGAGGCGGTGGGCAATACCGTGCATACTAAATATCTCATTAGTTAACTTGAAGGTGGATTCGCAAATTATTGTTATTAGTATAACGTTAAGTGGAAGCGGTAATAAATACGGGAGAAGGGAGGCAGATAGACAGAACCGTTTATCTAAATTGTTTATCGAGCAAATTATTTTCGAAGGTGGAAAAATTACATGACACCGAGGTCGCGTTTCCGTTTCTTTTCTCTTCGATTATGATGAAAAAAAATATCACGTTCCCTATGTGCGATAAGAATACGAGTTTGAGGAATAATAAAGTATAAATAATAATGTGTTGAGTTAATTGGTGCATGACGCGTGGAATGGTTGTTTCTAAAGTTTTGAATATTATTTACGAGACTATGCAAATTGAAATTTTTATGAAACAATCGTATCAATTTTCGTATATCACGTGCATTTTCTATATTTTTGTATATTTAAATTTTTTATAAATACATAAACATCTGCAATCTATTTACATGATGAAAGTTATGTCGTATAAAATTTATACGACATATATATATAATAATATTAAAAAATCGCTGATGAATCAACGATTAAAACATTTATACAATTTTCTTGTAGAAATTGCCATAAAAGTTACTAAAGAATGTACATAAAAAAGAGATTTGAAAGAGATATCGTCCATCCATTATTTTTTATGAAGATGAATAAATTGCGAGAACTATATTCTAAAATCATATGTATTATAAATATGATATATGATCCTTAAAAAAAAAAAAAAAGAAAAAAAAAACATGAAGCAATGTTTCTTATACATTATAATTTGTAATTTCGAGAAAAAATTTCATTCGAGAGAAGAAAAATTTCATACGATGTGCATCAATCTAGGTATCTGAATCGACGAGCTATGCAAAAACAAAACGATATCGATTCTTAGATAAGTCCTAGAAGACCAACCTCCTCGAAGAACAGAGGAGCTCGGGGCGGTTATCAAAAGGCCGCGAGACGTCCAAAGGAAGAGAATCCAGGATCTCCGTTGAAATAGAACGAGGAACAGGATGACGAACGCGATAATCTAAATTAAAAAAGCTAGACATCGGATTAAAGGATCGAAACGCGGAGAGACCGCGACACCCCGGGCGTGCAACGGGATGAAGTTGTTTCTCCGTTGATTAAATTTGCATCGCAACAAAGTTGTCCCCACCGAACCCCATTTTTCCCGCCGATCCTTCACGAGCAAATCGAGTTCAAATTACACACGCGGAACGTTGTATTGGAAAAGTAACTAACTAAGTAGTACGTCGAAATCGTATGATGGATCTAAACGTCGCGATCGAATCTGATAAGCATCTGAAACTTGGAACGGTAAAAGATTGGATAAGTGCACACAGATGATCAACTGAGTAAAAGGTATTCATCCTCGCCGCTGCGCGAAGGATGGACTTCTTCTCGACGTATCACGAGAATCGAATAATATATCTATTTTGCACAAAGACGACGATTTTTCTACGTATGTTTGGCATATTTTGATTAAAATATATAAATGCAATAAATATTGGACAGAATATTCGAAAATCTGGATTTAAGTTAGCGCTTAATTAATAATAATAACAGTATTTAAAGATTGAAATTTAACCTCGATATAATTCGACCAAAGCTCAGAGTTATCTTCGTAGTTTATTGGTGTACGTAGAAAAGAACTGGAGTGAGAGGAAAAGAAAACAAAAATATTAAAATAAAACTTCATCAATATTTATGCAACGTTTCCTCCTAATCGAGATTAAATTTCAATTCCACTATGGGATTTCGGAATAGTTATTCAACATTTACCGTACGTAAGTTAGCAATAGAGAAATAGTGGAAGAGAACGTGGTTGGAAGTTGTAACGATGATAACCGCGAATATCGAATTGACCGGGGGGCGTCCACGGGGTTGAAGCCAATTGACACACGGTAGAGTGGGGTGACCTCGAGGGTGAAGAGGATTGCAAGCTCAGAGCGCTTACGGGAAACGCTGGCGGCTGTTGGAGAGCGGCGGCGGAAAGAGGGATAAGGCTGACGTCGAGATAGCCGCAGGTGGTGGGGATACGAGTGGTGGGGAAAGTAGCGCGAACGCGGTGACGCCGGCAAAGACACTTCAGTTCTGTTAAAGCTACGGTGACGTGTGGGTCGTGCTCGGTTTACATATCGAAAGAAAACACGTGAACTGTGACCACGTGGATCTGTGCGTGACAATCTATTGCGCGATACCTGCACCGTGTGGGTTCAAGTGTTGAGTTTACTTTTTTTTGGTGAGCAGTCGGGAAGATTTTTTTTTTCGGGACCTCGTGGACGCGAGAACAACCGTCAACCTGGAGCCCACGTGTCAAAAACGGTGAGTGATAAAATGTTTATTTTTATTTAATATTGAATATCGTGAAATCGATAGTGCAAATGTTTAGTGGAATTTTTATAATATTTTTGAGAATGTAATTCGTTGTAGAAACGTTAAATTCTTCGTGAAATTATTTAAAAAAAGGCTCAAGAAGATTTTTATGATTTTTGAACGATTTTTTCTGTGCATATAATTATTGCATATAATTGCATATAATGCATTAATATGCATAAATAATTGCGGTAATTTTCGAGATATTTGCAAAAAAAAATTGCTATACTATTATATAGAATTTTTCTTAAATATAAATCGTTACTTATTCTCTGTTATATGTAAACATATAATGTCAAGCAATTAAGACGTATAACGAAAATGAATAAAAAATTCAATCAAAAATTATATTGGATACAAATCACGATTTCGATACAAACATAACATATTTTGTTTCGTTCGAAAATATATATCTCGAAAATTAAATCAATCGAGCGACAATTATATGCATTTTTGAAAAAATTGTTCAAAAATTGGTGAAAAAGTTCTTTTTTTAAATAATTATCGTGAAATTCTTTATTGTTCAAAAGTTGAAAACTGAATTTTTGATACTTGTATAATTTTTAATCATTATGAATAATATTATTATCATTTATTATATTCCAAATAAAAATAATAAACATAAGTAGTGAAAAGTATCGTGGTATATACAAAAAAAGAATAGAAAAATCCATAAATATATTTCATGCTCCGTTTTTTCTTATATTTTTCTTCAGAAGTTAAAATAATAAATCATTTCACGCAAGCATTTCAAAGTTTAAAATATTCTAACATTGTTCCAACAATATTAAATTTACAATTTCGTTATCGTAACATTAATATTTGATTTAAAAAAAAAAAGAAAGAGAGAGAGAAAGAGACTCTAAATATTAAATTCCATAGAGCAATTGGAGATCTAAAACAATCTTCGTATCACGTGATTTATCTAATCAATCGTTTTACTTTCGCGCTGACTGCATGGCAATTAACTATCTAGCGAATTTACCGCTTAGACATAGTTAGCAGATAACGCACGACATGCCTCTCTCCTCATCAGCCACTAATTTAAACCTCTCGTCTAATGCTAAACCCGTCTTTAGTGAAATTTTATGCAGGCCGTATGCAGCTTTCTACAGTCGCAACCTTCCCTCGTTCTTTACAATTGACATAAAACGATAGAATGTACAATTAATATGTACATGTCGATACTCAAATTGGAGAAAAAAGCAAAAGTTTCCTATTTTTCGAAATAGTCATCTTCATCTCTATTTTTCTTTTCCAATATCATTTTTAATCTTTAATTCGCGAAATCTTGCGATTAGATTGCGATAAACGTTTATGCAAATTCGATACGTTATTAATAATATTATATACAATTAGAATGTAAATCAAGATTTTTTTTTTCGAACACGATAAAGATCATTTTATATTATTTTATTGTGTTTTCTAATTTATTCACAAATATTCACAATTTATCCACGATAAATTAACAAATCAATACCCGAAAACATAAATCCATCCACCAATTAAGCGTCTTGATATCCGTCAAATGTCAATATCTTCGTGATTCAAATTTAAATAAATCGATCACGCATCGAGCGATGACGAGTAAGCATTTATCTCGTTGATCACGATTAACCTCGTGATTAACCTATTGGTTCGTCGTTCAACGTATATGAGCATATATTACTTCATCGAAAAATATTTAAGGAAACGTGAAAAAAAAAAAACGGAAATGTTAACACGATCTCTCCATGACTTTAAAAAGAAATAAAAGAAACGACGGGTTAGCAATGTTCGAACGGTCAGAAGCGATAGGATGGCAGAACACCGAAGGCACAATGAAATTGCTCAATTGTAACCTGCATTCCGGCGTCATCGAACAATGCTTGCGATCAATTATGCATCTAGCGTTCTCCAACGGTGACATATTGTGTCGCATGGAATCCGCTTTCGAGAGCTAATGCAAGAAGTAACTCGATATACGTTGCATAAACCCTCGATCGTTTCATTCCATTTCGTGGATTATCAATGGTTAACAAGAAATGATATAAGAAGATTGGGAAGTTGAAATTGCATAGGCTTTGAACACTTGGCTGTGTACGGTTTTGTGTGTAATCAAACACGATGTTCCCTTGGAGATTAAACAAGAAGATTATTGAGCGTTTTAATAATTATTTTGAAGATATTGTCATAATTCTTCTAATATTTTAATTATTTCTGATACGAATGAAATACAGGTGATTATATATAAATGAAAAACAGAAAAATTCGTGACGAATATTTATTATTAAAAATGAATTAAAAAAATTTTTTGAGTTGGAAATTTGTTATTCTTATTTTAATAAATTTCTCTTGCTATTTTAATGACATAAAAAAATCCGTGATTTGCATCCAGACTTTGTCAATTAACGAATCGATAAACATTCGTCTTTCCTCTCTCCCCTGCATTCAACGTGAATAATTATTTTCAATGAAAGAAGGGAAAAGAGGAAGCAAAGAGGAACCAAAAAGCAAAGAAGAAAATAAAAAAAGCTCGAAAGTGTTTCGTGATTTCGAGGAAAATTTACGAGAACCAGCTCGACAACGAGCTTTTAAATTTTCTCGCGTGTCAGAGTTTTATAGCGGAGCCGATCGTACCGTATCGGGCAAGATTCCAAGCTCTCTGGAAGCGACGAACTATGGAAGAAACGTTCCAGTTCGTTAAGACGTTCCCTGCTATCTGAAATAATTACCGGCCTGTCATCCGGAGGGATCCGTGGCAATCCGTGACAAAACGAGATAACGGTTCAACCCGCAACACGGTTGTAGGAAACGCGTTCCTCCATGGTGCATGAAAATGACAAAATGACGGTGTGCACGACATTTATCTTCCTTCGTATATGTATAGTTTTTTTTATTTATTTTTCCGTTTCTCTAAACCTTTGGAAATTTTGAAACTCTGATAGTGGGGGAGGAGGAGGAGTCAAAATGCAATGAACGAGAATTTCATATAAAAAATTGAAATATACGAAATCAAAGTTCCCTTTATTTTGTTCACTGTTTAAAATTCCGGAACTCGTGCGAGGATTGGCAAAATGCAATGAACGAGGACATTCTTCGATAAAGGAGGTTGCAACGAGTTGACGAGTTGTACGTGTGTTATCCTCCTCGATCCATTTAATATCGTTAATAACGAAGCCACGAGGACTGTTACCATGAAATTTGTTCGTTTTAACCGTTCCACGCGATCGATCCGGCTGATAGATCGATCAGGGTGTATCGGGGCTCTTTCCTACGAAGATCCGGTTAGCCCCGTGGCGAGACTCGCATCAGTCACGAGTCTGACAATCGCGATATCGAGTAACTTTCAATTACGACCGATCCGTGACGCTTTGACGTTCTGTGTATTCTGCGCTAGAGAGAGATTCGAGAATCGATGGCCTCCGTGCACCTCCGGTTTAATTAGCGAATGGCTGTGTCGTAAAATTATTTTCGATTTCCATTTTTTTTTTTTCCTTTCTTCTTTCTTTTCTCTTGTATATATTCCTTCTGTTTATAAGCGTTCGAACATTCTGTTTGATTTATAATAGGTTTTAATAATAGTAGTTAAATTTTTATGAAAGTACAAGACGGCGATGGGCTGACGATGGCTCCAACTCGTGTTTATCATCGTCTTATATATACTCGATAGACTAAAAAATTATTATGCACTAAAGAAAGTAGTGTCTACTGGTATGTTATGTAAATTCATTCGATTCCTCGAGTGCCATGTTTAACGTTGTAATGAAAAATCCATTGATGGGTGTAATGGCATTAAGAGAATCTTTATTAGTTTAGAAGAATTTGTGTTTCCTATATATTATATAATCTTATTTGCAAATAAATTGATAGTTTTATTTTCGCAATCAACCATCATTTCAACAATTTCGAATCTCGATTTCGAACCATTCAAACCCCTTTTCATTTAAAGTCTAAAAAATTTTTCTTAACTACGTCTCTCTTCTAATATCATCCCTCGAAATGAATCGTCGTCTCGTATACACTTGAACGAAATCCACTTGATATCTTACTCCAAAAAAAGAAAAAAGAAAAAAAAGCGACGATATCGACCGATAACAAAAACTGCAATAACAATCTCTCTCTCTCTCTCTCTCTCTCTCTCTCTCTCTCTCTCTCTCTCTTTCTCTCTTCACGAAATTCAACGTGTTTCACCGTTCGAAACACGTATATATACATACATATATACATCTATTCCGCGACATCTCGTTCCTCGATCGAGGAACGCAGCAGCGAGAACGCTTTCAAACTTTTGAAACCGGTTACCGTTGCCGCGCCACCATGCATCCCGGCCGACGTTGGCAAAAGGAAGGGTGGTAGGTGGTGGTGAAGGGAGCCGTAGGTGGAGAAGGAAGGAGGGAGGAAAGGAGGGGTGCGGCGGCGGCAGCAGCGTTTCAGAGAACGGACGTGGAAGGGATGTGGACTCTGTGGAAATTGTGCTGGGGTAGGAAAACCGGAGGGGGGTTGGAAACTGACCCGAGGGATCGCCCCGGGCTTAGACGAGCTCTGCAGTTGCCGTAATTAGAACCGAGCGCCCTGGGCGGCTGGCCGACGGCTGACGAGTCTCCTGCGGACTGAAATTATTCATGAACCTGGCTCCCACCCACGGCAAAATTTTCCCGTAAATATTTTCCCTTGTCAGATATGTGTGTGTGTGTGTGTGTGTATGCGAACGGAAGCTTTCGAATTCGATGAGAGAGAGAGAGAAAGAGATGTGATCGTGTTTATGCAGAAAGGACATTATTCCTTTTTTCTTTTTTCTTTCTTTGGGATGGACCTGTGTCCGCCTTTGTACAAATGGAAATTTTCGAGGCTGTGCACGAGGATTTTATTTTATTCGATGAAGCGTTTCGTAGGCTTTCTCAAGATTTTATTTATTTATTATTTTTTTTTTTTTTTTGTAAAAATTCTCTTTTCGAGATATGGAGAAT